GTGTTGTAAATTATATTTATTTAAAAATGGATTATTTTCCACTTTATGAACTATGATGGCCACACTTTGTATTGGACGAAAATATTCACAAAGTACGAGTTTTAATGATAAAATTACTTTACTATTATGTTAAAAATACTCACAGATGAAAAGTCACATTGTCCTTTTGTATACTTGACGTTTTTGATTGTTTTTTTTTTTCATGTAAATACACTGCAAATTGGGCATTTCGTCGGAGCTCGATTTACTGGCACGATCACTTCGGAACGACGCACGACGTGGAGAAACTAGTTTTATATAACGGGTATGAGTCGAACTCTCGTACCTTTTTCAAAGGTGTATGCCTTGCGATGCCGTCTCCTTTGGTTTAATACTCAAAGATGGGAACTTCTGAACAGTGTTTGGTAAAATCTGTGTCTTTATATTCCCCACCTAATTAGAAAGATGCTGCTGCCTCTTTCTTGTATCACGGGACTGGGACGGGAGTAGGGGGGGGGGATTCAGGATATTGTGAGGTGTTTTGCACTGTTCGAAGATTTTCGCTTTTGTTAAAATTACCATTTTTATAGAATAAGAGACACACCATTAGAAACGATGTCACCTGATTGTAAGTGTTTAAAAATACTTAAACACATGCATTTTGTATAATTTAAGTTAATATTAGCAAAAGAACAGGTTTCACTTATCAATTTGATTATTTGAATGTGTTTGTAACAGGTTGGTTCACTTGATATTGAAGTAAAATAGGCAATTGTTTACAATATTTAATGAAAAATATTTACAAATTACATATCAATTGTATTACATAATTTGTTGTCGTATATAAAACCCTTTTAAGACTGTTGTTATTAAACATTGATAGGTAGTGATATTGATTATATCTATGCCTAGATAAAATGTTTATAACGCCTGTAATATTTTCAATGTGTAGTGCGCACGGATAGAAAATAGAGTAATAAACTTCTGTGAGTTTTATTTATAATCATTTTATTGAGGTACATTTTATACAGACATCAATCATTGTATATACATATATGTGTATATATGAGACACTGATATCAGAACATTTAGATTATTACAAAGAGAAAAAGATTAAATTGTTTTTTATTACCTTGCGCTATTAGGTTTAGTGTAATTTTATATGAATAGTTCGCTAATCACGTCACATCTTTCAAGGACTTAGACCAACAAATAAATACAGACAGCGCTTGTACGTTTCAAGTTTTGCTGGCCACAACTTTGTTCTTTCTTTCTTTATTAGCCCGTAAAACTTTACTGCAATGTTAAGTATATATGCACTTAAAACCATGCTGTTGGTAACAAATGATTTTAGATGCATATGTGTACCTACGCAGCGGGGCCACTTACTCACAGGCTAACCTAGGGCACAAGGTTCGAGAGGGGGCGCTAAGCATGCCTTTTTTGCAAGCACCACTTATTTACAGAATAAAATTTGGTGTAAAATAAATATATAATATAATAATACAATTAAAAAACGATTGTTTTATACGAGTAGTATAAGGGTGGCAGAACGAACCCACAGTCTACCCGATGGTAAGTGGTTACTGTGACCCATAGACATAGTCTACTCGTACAATCTACATCTAGGGAAGTTAGCCTATGGTAGTCGAAACTCTAGATCAGGCACTGTGTCTTTCTTTCTTTTCTCCGTCTTCTTTCTTAGTTGATCTTAATTCAAGAATAACTAAATATTACGTAGCTAAATATCATTTACTTGTTTACAAATTACAAAAACTTTTTGTTAAAAACAGAAAATTTTTCATAAAAATAAAATAATAACAAAACAAAAACACGCACCAACTGAAATTGAGATATAAAAAATCTGGTGCAGGTAATGAATCTTAAAAATGAGGACATCTAATTAAAGCTTATATAACATAAGTTAGCGGCTGAACATATATAGCTTCCATTTTATAAAACGAATTGTTCCAAAATCTATTTACTTTATTTGATTTTTGAAGTTATTAAATGTAGAAATATGTTTATTAAAGTCATATATCATAAAAATTGTTTTTCAATGTTTTCAACTATTCGATGTTTGCGTCATTCATTTGCTATGATATATTATTATTTTTCTTACCTGAAACAGCAGCGTTTGTAACTTGAACATTCCACATAATATTATGAAATGGAAATGTTTATAAAGGGTTTTAAAAAACTGTAATTATTTAATTTTATAGAAATTTTTCGAAAAAAAAAACTATGTGATACTTACAGTAAATGTAGAAAAAATATAAAATGATTTTTATGTAGATGGATGACTTTTTATTTATAAATATTTACTGTTACAAAAAAATTAATAGAAACAGGTGTAACTATATGGAACTTCATTATACCAAAGATGTAAAAATTAAATCAATGAAAAAAAAAAATAAACGTGATGGAGCTACGCTGCAGCTATGCTTTACATACCTGCAGCATAAATGGCCGGCTTGACCAGGGTAGGACCACGCTCTCACAGAATACCATCACTTGGATCTTAGCTGATTAATTATAACATCTATTTTGGTAACAATATTTAAAAATCTCTTCGTAGGTACCTAACGGAACAAACGGTCTGATGATTTTCAGTTATAAATGATATTGATTTTTACAAGAAGTTTTTAATTTTATAATTAACTAACATAGATAGTAAGTTATAGGTACACTAAATTGTTGATATTATATATTGTATAATACGTACGTAACGAACTTATTGATAAAATGTTTTATTTACAACTCTAACCTAAAATATTAAACTAGTTAGTCTTTAAACTCCCAGCGGTTTTATATTTCGATCAACAATACTGTTGATCGAAGGTTTTATATCTCAAAAAACTACATATTAGTTAAAATAAACTTAAAGATTATGGCACATTACTTCGGTTGAATTACTGTGCTTTTTGGTGAAGCACATTTTGGTCCAAGGTGATAAAAGTAATTTTAGCATAATAGTTGGTAACAGTTAGGTATTTCTGTTACAGACCCATGGAGCTAAATACCATAGTTAATCGCACTCGATGGGAAAATATAGTAAGATTAGTTCACCAAATATTTGTCGATATCCCTACTTATTTTAATAAGTTTTAGACGAACACAGAAAGATAGACGAAGCGCTATGCACATTTAAAGTGATACCGAAACCATGCTTTATAAAATCTACTTTTGGACGCAGACATAAACACATAAAAAGTATGTTGTATTATATAATCATTTTATATACTATATAGGGTGAGTACAACAGACCAGCGCTGCGTGCATTTTAAATGCAGCACTCCATCTATCTTCTCTGTTAGTCTAAGGCCTTTTTCTTCTTTTTAAAGCAAACAAAGTTGTCCAAATAACAGAAAAAGCCTTTGTAACTATTACCGAAGAAGAATAGCGGAAAGAATGTGAGCACGTCAGAAGAATTGAAGAAAAATATTACGTCGATGGTCTAGCTATTAATAGCGAAATCGACCGATTTATAATTGAAGTAGGGGGACGTAGCGATACTTCTGATGATATGGAAGACGAAAACGACAAAAGCATCTCCGGCATAAGTCCGTTTCATGAGCGTAATTATTTCATCGTTTTAAGTATCAGTCTGCGTATAAGGGTATCTATGAAATTGCCATTACAAATCAAATGTTTTACTTCATCATACTTATAGTAAAAAGTATAGTAAGTTCAGAGAATTTACGAACTTGACACTTTAATTTTAAACGATTTAAACGAGATTATACTATCAATAACTTGACTTGCTTTTAATTTGAAAACAGGTCTATGATCCAGAGGTGTGAATTGAGTACTCCATCCTAGGTTTTTAGGATGTATTAGAATTAATGATAAATAGATTTAATGGTTTAACAATGTTACCTTTTAAATGTTTATAAAATCACAAAGTGAACAAATACCACTTTAAAGTCTCGTTAACATTTTCCTATCTAGAGTGAATTTGTAGACGCAATGAATTAATTATTTTAATTTTTTACCGAATTACATTAACACTATATTTAAAAGATTATCTTCATTTATATTACGGTTTTGTTTTTGTAGGATTTTTTTCTGCCTTATTTAGTGTGAATTTTGCATTCTTACTTATTTTATTACTACAAATTTAATCAATAATAATAATATTTTATTAGTAAGTATAAATTTAATCAATAATAAATAAGTTCCAGCGTGTCTTAGCTTCAATATTTGACTTCGCATCAAATTAAATGAGACACTCCTGCAAAAGTGAAATACCGTTCAAATATAAAAAGAGCATAATTTCGTATTAAATCTTCCGCAGGATACATTATACATATATATATAAAAAAACTATTAAGTATTCTTTACTAAAACGTAGTGATTAAGTTATACTCTTTGTTCTCTAGTTTATCACTTTGGCATTTATTTCATTTATGCTTTATCTCCTATATCATTATTTGAAATTCGATTCTTTTCCTAAGTTACATATTATTTAGCTTATTGAAATATTTTTACAAATACATAATTAAAATCTTATGACATGTACTTGGAACGAACAGTGATGTTTTCATACGTACCTAGAAGCAAATATAATGCTAAGTGGATAAAGGGAAGTAAAGTTACAGCCTATATACGTCCCACTGCTTTAGTCTCCTCTTATTTATGATAGGGTTATATCAGTTTAATCCGCCGCGCTGCTTTAATATGTGTTAGTGGGCTTCATATGTCTTTGAAATCTTTTTATATCTTAAACATACAGTTTTATCCACAACTTATTCTTCACCGCCGAGTACTTGGTTAATTACCGTAAAGTCGTAAGGGGCCATATAAGAAAATGAAACAGGAAATGGTAGCATCGTCCTGATAACAAATTAAAATATTATAAAAGTTTGCCAAGTATGGCGACTATGGCAAATATACCGCCTATAAGATAATCTCTGATGAGACTATGTACAGCGGATTATTATGATCTTTTGATAGGCTGAAACGGAAATGGAATTAAATTAATTTATTACGTTCTTTAAATATTTAACCCGCTTTGTTTTATGTTCATCTTTATTTACAGCTCAGTTCGGTTTTTACGTTATAAAATAGATTTTAATACAATTTTAGCCTGCACAAGGTATAACAACACCAGTGTTTCTGCGGATTTCCTGTCGCGAGCACTCGCACCTGACTTCGTATGTCACAACACTGTTAAAGTCTTGGTTAAACTCAAGCAACAGAAGTATCGTTTAAACGTCAAAGAGCAGCGCAATATTGTGCTGCGAAGCGCGTCGCTAGTAGTGATCGGGCTGATGAGGTGGGCCGCGGAAAGTGCGCGGCTGTGTGGCGTGCGTGGTGTGTGCGGCGTGCGCGTGCGCCGCGTGCGCCGCGTGAGTGGCGTGCGCGAGCGTGCCGTGCGGCGCGTAGCTGCCGTACGCACTGTCTTCCGACGACAACGGGCCCCGGCGTGTCCCTGAGCTGTACACTGATTCACGCCGCTCTTGCACTGCAGCGCCTGCAATTTTTTGAGAGATTGATATGATTTATATAGTTATTGATGACAAAAAATGTAAGTTTTAGCTAAAATTATTTCTTATAGGTCTGAATATTTGTTACGTATATTGCATTTAAAGTTTTTATCGTCGGATAGCTGAAATACTTGTCTTCTGTTTACATACTATCTATATATTATCGAAGATCCTTTTCATTAGCCTCTGTGAAATTGCTGTCAAAAATGAATATATATGATATTGATTCCTTTTGAATCAATATAGATTTTGAATCAATATATTGTGCTAATTTATTTGCATAAGGTCGCCGAGGCCTTCATTCCTGTAACTTAATAAATATAATTATGACCATTAATAAATATTTTTATTATATGTAACGGTAATATTATTTGTTTACGATATCAGTTTTATAAGAAATAAGGTAAATATTTCTTTTTGTCACTTAGGAAAAGTATAGGTCCTAACATGATCCCCAGTAAAGTCTGAAAAAATGAACCAAACGTATATTCAATAATTTTTCCTTCAGCAATTCCATAAATTATTTATGTTGGTCAGTGAATTCTAGTTTTGTTTACAAAAACTTCCAAAACTTCTCAAAACATCAGAATAGCCACGTAATTTTTTGACACATTTATAATTTGAGTTAATCGAAGAAAATGTTATGATCATCAATGACTTGATACTGACAAATCTAGAAAAAGAGTTCATAAGTTTTTTTCACTTCCTGCCAATGCTTGACTACAACTAATGGTTGTAAGCCGTTTGTGATCAAGCCCTAGATGTTAAATAGTACCGTTGTAGCGTAACACAAGTCTTTATTCACTTTTGCCTTTACGATACCGAAATTGAAATCGGACGGGAAGACAAATCCTGGCAAATTATTATTGAAAATAAAAATATTGCTACGGGATTGGGGTTTGTAACAGTAAAAACTGCCGATTGAATTACCAAAATTGACACTTTAACTACTGAACACCAATTACAACTTCAACACACTAATAATTAATCACACTGATCATTTAGTTCAGAGTTATATCACTTCGAAGTATTCGCTTGAATCGCCAATTCAAGTCGCGGTTCTAACTGGCCTTATACAGGCCTCTTCTACTGAAACATTTAGAATGTATGAGTACATACCGGTCGCGACTGACTAGGTGTAGAAAGTTCTAGTATGGAATGTTCTAGAAAGCTCTCCTAGTTCTGCTACTCGATACTAGATGGCGCTAGTGGCACTAATTATAGCGTGCAACAATATATTAAGTATAGAAAAACATTCATGGGGTAGTGGATATTCTTACACCGCCACTACACACTAAGTGGTGGGTATTCTTAGAGGCGATAAAGGGAATCAAACCAAGAGATGGGTAGCAGCGTCTTTCTAATAACAACTATAAAATAAAACAAAACTGCGGGTTACACAGCAAAGCAATCTATGGTGATGTCTATGTTCAGCGGTGGGCTTTTATAGGCTGTAATGAATGAATAAAAAAAATGTAAAAAGTGAACTGACCAGCGGGTCCAGGTCGGACGCCATTGGGTGCAGTGCCATATGTGGGGTCTCGCTGTGCGTTGTGCGTATTCTGGTTGAGCGTCAGCGCGTGGTGCGGCGGCCGCAGCAGCAGAGACTGAGCGGCCGCCAGCGGCCCGCCCGCACTGCTGCTGCCCTTGCTGTACACCGACTGCGATCTGAGGATATGAGATTTTTATTACAGGCCAGGACATTGGGGCATTGGACAAAATATCGTATTTGAGACAGGAATTTTGATGCTCGAGGACCGATACTTCTTGAAACACTATATGCTCGGAAAAAAATATGCGCATACATGAATCACTCAACTTCCAATCGAATTGACTTTTAAAATATTTCATATTTAACAAGATAAAAAATGATAAATATATACTCTTTTTTTAAAAAGCAGTAACAATAAAATATTTTTCGATGGTATGATTTTAATTAGTATAAAGCATTTATTTCGACATTTCAGACACTTTAATTTTGTTTATATGTATAGTTTTAGTTCTCGTAAACCTTCCACATCATGATCCTCCTGTATTCTCTTTATGTATTTGGGTTTTTCCAAACGATATGCTTATGCATCAGTATATTTTTTTTATTTAGATCATTTATTTCCTCATAATATACAAAAACATTTCAAATAAAATATCTTTTCTCCACCGAATGTCGCACGCTTACTTAGTGCTGGACAAATATACATATGCTCCGCTGGCGAAGGGAGCGCTTAAAGCCTTATAATGTCGAAAATCCTCGCCTTAATAAGATTCTAAGATTTTTAGTAGGTTTAGTTCTAAAACAAATAGTGTATATATATAGGATTTTTCCGTCAAAAAATCTGACAATTTTTGTTTGAGGTATTTCACCCCCGTGCCTCGAGAAGCACGTGGTTTCCGTCCAAAACCGTTAGCTTGACCACTATATTAAAATACTTTGGTATATGTACTTCATTAAACTTATTTTTAATATAACTTTATTTATACTTTTTTTCTTGTTCTCTATAACCACCCTTGTATCGTATAGTATTATCGGATTATCACTGTCCTAAGGTTGACTGGCAGAGAATGTTTTTAGCATTAAGTCTGCGGTATGCCTATTGATCCCGTATTGTTTTTGTAAGCTTAAATACAAATTTAAGAAATATAATTATAAAATTACGAATGAAATTAGTGAATTATAGTATCTTTTTGCTCAAAGAAAGTATTAAAATATTATTATAAGTACTAAATTTTTTATTTGATGATTAGTCATATTAATAAAAGAAGAAGTATTACGTATTATTTGTATTAAATATTAGTATTTAATTATTACTTCCGAGCTGTAATTAAACCCGCGGCCTATACCGCTGTTGTCAAATGCTACTTAAATCTTTAAGCTACCAAGTTTGAGATATTTCAACGAATATTTTTAAATAGAATTTGTAATAATTTTTAACCACCTGTTCTTGCTCACGAAAGTCGAGTAATTTTTAGTCTAGCGACGTTAAGGTGTTTTTTAAGATGCCTAAAAATATTCTATCGGTTGCCTATCAGATCGATATAAGCCTTAATAAAAGATTAATATTCCTTGTAATACTGTGACTCTACCGTGTAGTGGCGATGTAAGGATATCCACTACCTCATAACATCCCGTTGGTATCGTAAGAGGCGATAGAGGGAAACGAATCAGGAGATGGATAGCAAGCGTGGCAACTATGGCAAATATCCCCCTTATGAGGCAATCTATGGGGGAGGCCTATTCACACTAGTGGGACTTTGATAAACTGTAACGGTGATAAAACTGCTGTCCTAATAAGTTGTTAAGGACTTGAGAAAACAACGTTCGTATATACCTAATACTACTTGAAATATCGTATTATCAAAGAGGGATAATATGCATTACTATCAACTACTATAAACAAAGTCGGTTTAAATTTAAATTCTCTATTACACCTGCTTTGCTTTCGCTTATTTGAATTGATTAATTGGAACAACAGTAGTATTCTATCTCAGTATGATAAATGAAGAACCAGAACGCAAATTACAAGTAATTAGGAAACTTAGTCCTTTGGGCGACCAGGCATCTTTTACGTTTTTATGTGAATATTCATTCATTCATTCATGATAATTACAATGAATTATAAGCACACAATTTTAAAACATAATTAACAGAATAAAAGCGCGTTCAGACGCTCAGAATAGAGTAGGATCGTGTAAGTTAGGTTTACGAGAACTCAACCTATACATCTATACATATAAATATAATTGAAGTGTCTATATGTAAGATCGAAATGCCATTAAGACATGAATAAACATTTTTAAAATTGTTGTTGACCGGCTTGCTGACCGGCCTAATCTTTAGAATTACTGAATCGACTGTAATGAAACCTCACGAAAAGATAGAAAGCAATGCCAGGAGTAATCGACGTTATATTTTATAAGAAAAATTTAAAAAAGTTTGTATAAAATACATATCTTTGATGGGGTATCTAAAATCTAAATAACGCCACATTTATAAATCCTACCCAGATTACGCCAAAAGCCAGGGCCGCGCGGCGGATAGCTATTCCTAAAATAAAAACTTTTCTACTAGCAAGGCAAATCAAATAGTAAATGTTTGATAACATTGGAATAAACTTATCTGAGAATAAATAGCATCAGGCTTTATTTAAAACTATTAATTTTATTCGTAACAATGTATTCTGGGCCGTGGTGCAGTCAAAAGTTACTGAAATATTTAAACTAATGGTTAATGTTTATTTCCGGCGATACAAAACGAGGTCACCCGTTGATGACTTATTCCGACTACGTAACATTTTGTTGTATAATTAAATAAAATTTTACATTTGCTTTTATAAAATTTCAATGTGTTTGTATATTATTTTTTAATTTTCATTTAACGGCTGCGAATATTTAACTTTTTTTATTAAGAAAATTATGACTCCTGCTTCTCTATATTGCACCAATCTATTAATTTAAAAAATAAAAGGACATACAGACATACAGAGAGACGGATAAAAATTCTAAAAACCACTAATTTGACTTCAGTATCCTTTATTTAGTCCTCTGGACCTGTTTTTTAACTTCCCAGTGGGAGTTATTGTAATGGGTCCGATTTTGAAAATTGGAAATTTTAACATATCTCCACGTTTCAAGGTCTTTAGAGTCGAATAGTATGGTTTTTAAGAGGATGTCCGTGTGTGCACATGTACGTATGTATGTATGTTCGGATTCAATTTTCGCCACGTGTATCTCGAGAACAAAGAAAGATATTGACATGGACCAGTTTAATTTAACGCATAATTATGTAACTTAGACCTCATTAAATTTTGAGCAAAATCGGTCTTCGTTTTTTATGCCGAATGAAAAATTGTATAAAATATTAAAACACGATATTTTTTATTCTTTCCACTGAGAAGTTAGTCGTGCGGACCTTTCGGATTGCACCTAGATCGCTTTTATTTTTCAAGAACTATTAATTTCTACTAGATTTACTATACTTACTATAACCAACTATGTATAAGACATCAATATACTATAAATTCTTTCTGGTAGATCGGACCAAAAACTAATAATTTAAAATTGAAGGTAGTGATCTCTCGCTACAGAGTAGTATGTGCCTTGGTAGTGATTAAGTAAGACATTGGGACGTCGATCATTTCATGAGTGCTGTAAAGTACTCGAAAATATAAAATCTGTGAAAAGCTAATTTTATTGTAAAATGTTCTCAATGCGATCGTATGTTTTTCTTTTTTTTTTGTATGAATGTTACGCGATCTCTTCGTCATTATTTGAAAACCGATTTTAAAGCTCGTTTTTAGTAAATAGGTCCTGTTTCAGGAAGTAATAGGTGAATCCCATAACCGTTGATTTGAAGAAAACGTTCGACTACTACGGGTACGTAGTACTACAACCTTAGAGGGACAAGACATTAAGATTGTCATTGTATAATATTATGATTCCTTACCCTTAGAACAGCTACTCGAAAGGGCATAATTTTTTAATAGTATATGTAAAAGCCAAGTCACGGATTTAATTATTCTATACGTCTTAGCACCGATTTCAGAAAATAAAATTATTTTATTATATATTAATTTTTTGAAGTCTGCTTTTAATATTTAAGAAAAATTATTTTTTAAGTTAATAATTTTCGTAATATGTTATAGCTCTTAAGTTCACTCAAATATTAATTTACTTAAAAATTGAAAATAATTTAATTAAATGTCATTGAATATTCTGCATAGTTTGAGATTATAATAAAGCAAGTTTAATTAAGTCGTATGGTTTTCTAACGGCGTCATTTAATCAATGTTCCTACACATAAAGTTCGCACGCGTGTTCTGTCCACAGAACACCATTACTCCTAGCGTGTTCTGTCGTACTAATTGGATCTTTTCAGTCCTCTGCGCATTCCCGACCTTCTCGAATATTTGGACCTCATTAACTTAATCAAGTTATTTCATGACAATGTTTAAATTAGTCGCTCTTGTTTAGTATTTATATTAAGCTGACTTATGTTTTTAGGATGCAATTAAAACGAATGTAAAGAACAATTAAATTTAAATTAAATTGAATAAAAATCTGTAAAACTATTTTATTTCATTTTTTTGTATAATAAGGGCAAACGAGCACACATTCCACCCTATATTAAGTGGATGCTGTGGCCCACAGATGTCTACACCTATCCTAGAATAAGAATCAAGATTTAGATGCGTCGTCTTACTACGTCGTCTTACTAAGGTGGAGTGCCCAGTTTCCAGTAAGAAGGTTTCCGGTTCTCTTAACTTTTTACACAAAACACAGCAGCATTTAGCAGCTATTATACGCTGGTATTTTTTTATAGAATAAGGTTGACAAACGAGCACACAGTCTACCTGATGGTAAGTGGGTGCTGTGGCCCGTATACATTTACATTTATCTTCAATTAAGAATAAAAATGCAGACGCGTTGCCAGCCCTGAGGACTGAGATGGAATGCCTCGTTTCCAGCAAAAAGGGTCTCCAGTTCTCTACACTCACCATACGAAACACAGCAGCATTAAGCTGCTATTTTACGCTGGTATTCTGTGAGAGCTTGGTCCTACCCCGGTCGAGCCGACCCATTCATGCTGCAACCTCAAAATAGCTGCAGCATGCCTTCTACCAGGTAAACGTTAAGTTAGTATTCTGTATGAGTGTGGTTCCTTCCCCGGTCGA